ATTCCGGATTTCCCGATGATTCCACTGGCCCATATTTATTCAAAAATGATGCCGGTGAGAACTTAACCGATAATAGCGGCCGTTATCGCGCCATGATAACCGACTATTTGATACCTGAAATTGACGCTCGTGCTCTCGACGACATTTGGTTTCAACAAGACGGCGCCACTTCCCACACATCGCATCAATCAATAGATTTATTGAGAAAACACTTCGGTGTGCAGATAATTTCACGTTTTGAGCTGGTCGTTTATCACTAAGATCGTGTGATGTCACACCGTTATATTTTTTCCTGTGGGGATATGTAAAGTCGGTTCTATGCGGACAATCCCGCTTCGATTCAGGACTTACCAGTCGAAATAGTCGAACGAGTCATCGAAAATTGGACTCAACGGGTGGACCATCTGAGACACAGCCGTGGCCAACATTTGATAGGATATAATCTTCAAAAAATAAATGTCAAAGAATGTTCTTTCGAATGATAATAAACATTCCCCATTAAATTTAAAATTTCTGGGTTTTTTTTCAACGAATCTGCAAGTGTCAACAAACGTTTTGATAACTGTTTTTATTCATTATCAGCATTTTCGGCTCGGTGATTTTATATCATGAATCACTGCTTTATGTTAAACATCATACTTGTATATTTAATTTTTGTGGCCTATTGACATTGATATACAAGTTTAAGCAGCGACGCCGAGCGCGACATCGACATTGCCATTAAGTGTAAACTTAGTCAGCAAATTCTCTGTTGTTATGAAATAAGTTATTTTATGTTATAATAAAATATTTAAATATATGGTACATACATATGTAGTAGAGTGATGATTATATTGATTCAGGGTTTTTTCGTTGCGGCATTAGAAAATACCTGCTTGAATGTGTTTATACCTAGATTTTTTTTTTTTGTGGGAATACTTTTTTATATTCTCGCAACCTGTTGCTACAGAGTATAATAGTTTTGTTCACCTAACGGTTGTTTGTATCACCTAAAACTAATCGAGTTAGATATAGGGTTATATATATATAAATGATCAGGATGAAGAGACGAGTTGAAATCCGGGTGACTGTCTGTCCGTCCGTCCGTCTGTCCGTCTGTCCGTCCGTCCGTGCAAGCTCTAACTTGAGTAAAAATTGAGATATCTTTATGAAACTTGGTAGACATGTTTCATGGTACCGTGAGACGGTTGGTATTGCAGATGGGCGTAATCGGACCACTGCCACGCCCACAAAACGCCATTAATCAAAAACAAATAACTTGCCATAACTAAGCTCCGCAATAAGATACAAGACTGTTATTTGGTACACAGGATCACATTAGGGAGGGCATCTGCAGTTAAAATTTTTAAAAGTGGGCGTGGTCCCGCCTTAATAGGTTTAATGTGCATATCTCCTAAACCGCTAATGCTATAATAACAAAATTCACTGGAAGCAAATGTTTTAGCACTTTATTGACGGTGTGAAAATAGTTGAATCGGGTGGCAACTCCGCCCACTCCCATATAACGGTACTGTTAAAACTACTAAAAGCGCGATAAATCAAGTACTAAACACGCCAGAGACTTTAAATTTTATCTCTGAGATGGTATAAGATGACTTTAGGAACCGCGTTCAAAATTAGACAGTGGGCGTGGCACAGCCCACTTTTAGGTGAAAACCCATATCTTGAGATCTGCTTAACCGATTTCAACCAAATTCGGTGGTAACGTTCTTTCATGTTTCTATGTCATAGTGCGAAAATGGGCGAAATCGGATTACAACCACGCCTATTTTCCATATGACACCATTTTAAATACCACTTGATTCTTTCACTTTCCACTATGCAAATCAAGCAACAATGATTATATCGGCGTAAACTTTGCGTGAATAATACGTTTAAAGTATGCCACCTTGTGACCAAAATTGTCTAAATCGAACCAAAACTGTTCAAGCCCTAAGTACTAAATATGTGGACCCCAGTACCTATAGTTGACCTTCTACCGAAAATATCAGTCAATCCACAAAGAAATCTCAAACGAGTATACCATTTGACTTTGCGAGAGTATAAAATGTTCGGTTACATCCGAACTTAGCCCTTCCTTACTTGTTTTTAACTGTTATTAATAATTTAATTATTTATGAATGTCAAAAACTGATCAATATTCTGACCATTGCATTATTTAGTTATATTTGTGTTTAAGTAAGCTCTATAATACAAGTACACTCAAAAAATGTTTTCTAATTGAAATTTAAAACTACAATTTTGACTAGGTTAGGACGTAGGGTTGATCCAAAATCGATTGATCTCACTTGGACAGAGATTCGTCTTTTGTGTTAACCATAAACTCCTAAAAGTGGATCAAGATCCTTATGGATCGACGAAGAAGCGACAATCGGGCATGGCTAAATATACTCAGCTAGTGACGCTGATTTAGTTTGTAGTGTCTCCGACGTTTCCTTCTGGGTGTTACAAATTACGTGCTAAACTTAAAATAGGGTATAATTAGTAGCACTTTTATGATGTCCGCTCGAGGAAAGAAAAATTATGGTAGGTACCTAATTTGGACTCAAGAAAGAAAGCAATAGTATAGAGCATGCCAAATCCGCGAACCCGATTAGTTTCAAAAAACTCGAAATGAAATTGAGGTTAGCATCCATTCAAACTGTGTATTTATGACAAACCTGTTAGCTCAAAATGTTTCGCTTATACGCTAATGCTTTTTTTCTTGATCGGCTTATTTCTGGATAGAAACTGAACTTTGCCTCGGTCGAGAGTGTCGAGAGCCGCCATTATCTTCAACACATTCCCAAATCTATATCTTGTTACCGCGAAAACAGAAAACATGAAAAGCTATAACTATTGTGTTCGGCTGTAATCTTCTTGAGTCACTTATATCTAACATATTTTGAAGAATCTGTTCGTTTCCTAAGTGAAATATTATACAAGCTAAACATTGTGCTTCTACTTATTTTTCGCTGAGTAACTGTATAACCTGTTACATAGCTGCAGAATTCCTTTAAAAGCGAATATTGCTCATATGATTCACTTTGTTCTTCAGATCTAATTAAACTGCTTGAAATTATGGTATAACAAGTGGAGTCTTATTATGACTCATTTGATTGCATTTCATGCAGTATATGTTGAAAGTTCTTGATCAGTATTATTTTCTACTAGCTGCATAAGAAATTAGTTGTCAGTTCATCACTTTCGCTTGCACTGCCACCAAAGACTACTATTAAAAGAAACGGAAACTTGTCCCTCAGCTCAGTAGCTCTGAAATTATTTACTCCAACTGTTTTTTTCTCATTAAATTAATATTGATATTAAAATTCTGTGAAAGTCTTGACAATGAAACAAGGTCTATATATAATATAAGTATATAAATATCGAAATATTTGTAATTCTTTGTGTTATCAACCTCAGTGACGTTAGTGACGTGTTCTTCTTATCTTTTGTTCAGACTGCTTCATCTTGGAACTTACGCAGTTTCAGAGCATTTTTCCTAAAGTTTATTGCCCTTATTTATTCTGTTTATCTTTATTCAAATATTCTTTTGTTTAAAAAATGTATTGTTGTAGTTTATTATAGGTAAGTCATATTATACCTACATTGTTTGGTTTCCATAGAGCTTTTAGCAGCAACTGTGTATATTCTTTACTCAGCATCACTCCTCTTTGAATAACTCTTTATTATTATTATGCCCCCAGAGAATCCCAACTCCCATCTAGCAGGTCAATTTTTTAATGGACTTGAAGGCTATAGAAAAGCTTTTTCACAGCAGTTTCCTGCTTCGGTACCATCTCTGACAATGAATATACATATAAATTGGATTGTCTATACTATGTTGTTGTTGTTGTAACAGTTATCTAATTCCCGTAAATGCGACAAGACTCAAGCCAGTTCTCATCGAAATCATCTAACGGGAGGCCCAGGAAACGTGCTGTTTCGACAGGGTCGGACCATAGGTTGAGGGGTGTTAGATGAGTGGGATTCATTGCGCATGCAAAGAGATGGTTAGAGTCATGCCGAGACCCATTACATGCAGGACATATGTATATTTGATATGTCGAAGTAAATTAATTTAGGTTTGAGTTGGACCTGCATCAATATGCAGAACATAGTTACGCAAGAGTCACTCTGGGTTCGCGAGGCAACTCGAGCTCTTCGTCTACCATGGGTATTGCTTTGACTCCAAATACACCATGCAGTGGCGGGGAGCTCGTGAAGGTATTAATGACTTTACTGTGAATAGCTTTCAGTGCATGTTTGAAGTTGATTACGACTGTAGTGTGGTCATTCGACTGAAATGGCGGGGCAGAGCCCCAACTAAGTGAAATTTGCACAGCCGTAGCAGCTAGCAGCGCAGTTGTCCGTTAACAGCATGGTTTACTCCCTATGTGTCTTAAGGTCTTAACAGGTCTTAAGATAGCTACATCCTTTGAACGTGTTACACCGTACTGTGGCGGAGTTTGGATGAAGCCTTTAGGCGCAAACGCAGCAGAAAAATTCCTCCGAGACCGAGTTGGCCTCATTGCCAGCAAGGAGCAGGAAGATGCGGAGCCGCCCTGCAGCTAGGTGTTGCTCCAATAATGACAAGCTTACCTCAGAAATTACCGATCTAACCAGGGTTAGATAACCCTTGGCCGGATGAAATCGGTGCTAACGGTCGATGAAACGATTTTTGTTGTTGGAAGTGAAATCGCGCAGTGAAATCATAGATGATATATACGGTCACTCTTCTTTGGCGCCGACCGTCAGAAATTGGATTAAAGAGTTTCAACAAAGTCGCACGTCGGTTTGCCTCGAAAATGACTTAACACGTAGGACGACGAGACAAAAGTCCATGACTCGACTTCCTTTGAACTCTTTTATAAATCATGACTTGTTTATCAACTGGAGGATGAAATGCATTTATTCAAAAGATGGAAAGTTTAAGACTAAAATTTCTAAAGTCTTCGACGTAGAACGATATTTATTAAAATACTATAAATAAAATTAAAAGTTTTACTGCTGCCGTCTACCTAGTCGCCGTCTACCAAGTCGCCGTCTACCAAGTCGCTGTCTGCCAAGTCGACGTGCACTTGCGCCTCTAGCGGCTTTTCTGCTGCGTGTATTTCCATTTCTGTTGCTTCGGAGAGATCTGTTTCTGACTCTGTTACCGCTGTTGGCTCTGTTGCCGCTACTTCTTCGCTTTGCGCCGTTAGTACGCTTTGCGGCGTTAGTACGCTGTGCGGCGTTAGTACGCTGTGCGGCGTTAGTACGCTTTGCGCTGTTAGCACCATTTGCCACACGTACTGCCACACGCGGACTATCCCTTGTTCTTCTGCTTACAGCTGCTCTTCTGTTACCTCCATTGCGCCGACTACGTGCTAACCGACGAGCAGCTGATGCTGCTGCTGTAGTGTTTGTAGCTGTTGTTGTCGTTGATGTTGTACTGTTTGCTGCAGTAGTATTAGTAGCTCCAGTAATGGTAGTAGCTGCAGTAGTGGTAGTAGTGGTTGAACGTTTACGTCCTGGTGTTCCATTGTAATTCACGGTCACTCGTACTTTTGTAATCTTTTGGGATGGAGGACAAGCGGGCTGTACAGGAAGGGATAATAAGGCATTGGCAACTGATACCAAAACAACCAGAAGTAATAACCTTAGAGCCAACATTATAGAATTGTTAAAATTGTTAAAGCCTTGACTTGAACTGCTGAAAATAAGTTGGCTCCAAGTGTATTTATACCCGATTTCGTCTTAAGAAATATTACTTTCATAATTAAATATTTACAGTGCAAACTCAGGCATTGCAAATATCGTTCTGTTTCTGGTTAAATAAAAGTTATTTCTAGCATACGCGTGCATAGTATGTATGTTTAATAAAAATGTGGGTTTTTAGAACTTATGCAATAAATGGAATGCCGAATTATGCATACTCTCGCATACTTATTAAACAGAGTACAACGGCTTTTTCCGTATAGAGCATATATATATGCAGATATTGAAATGTTCAAGCCAAATCAAGCTGTCCGTCCGTGAGCTCTTCAGCGCATGTAATAATAAATGTGAAATATTTTCAGATGTAACGCATGTTCACTTCGCCACCCTAATTGCTACCAGAGTAGGGCTCGGAATGCTCTCTTATTAAGAAAAAATGCATTTAATTGTTCCGCCTCAACTTGATGATCGGCCATGGTCGAAAGTTTAATCGCGTTTTTCTCAAAGCGACTCTTTTAAAACTGGCGTTCAAGATAACTCGGAAAGTTCTCAACCGATTCTTATGAAAATTAACACATATTTTCTTAGTAGTGTTAGCTTCTAGTTATACCAACAAAATGCCACAAAAATTTCAAAAACTACCCTTTTTGACCCAAAAAAAGTCAGAAAAAGGGTCAAAATTTTGCCAGTTTTTGATTTTTTGACTTTTTTTTTTGGGTACAACTACAGATACATGTTTCATGAACAAACTCCAACCTTTATTTCTTATTTCAGATAGCTGAAACTGAAGCTAAAAATTCCGCCAATTGATGCCTTTTACCGCGAGAGCCTCAAGAGATCGATTGCCACAGCGGCCATTTTGAGAAAAACAATTTTTTTAAATCGGATTTTCATATTTCAATATTAATAAACATGCTGAGTTTCATTATCATTAATTTTTTTTTCATTTCAAATAAGCCTAAAAAAATTGGTCTAAATTCAGGCGTTTACATGTATCGCCCCTGTTACAGTTGTACATTAAATGCTCTGACTCTTAGTACCCTTATCGTATGAGTAACACAAAAATTTTGAGGCACTTCTATGAATGCTCAGTATATTTGGTGCACAACTTAAACTGCGCATAACTTTCAAAGGAATGTTTTAAGCATTTAGACCTTTTTTGTACAGCGGAAAATTCTGTACTAAAATATTATGTTTTCAAAGTTGTTGGTTTAATTTCTTTAGAGATAAAAAAATTATTGCAAAATATCAAAATATCTTATGTAAAATATATAGTAAAATGATTTGGGCACGGTTTTAATTGAAAATAAAAAGCTTGTTTATGTTGCGTTTGCAAAAAAAAAATAAATAAATACATTTGTGAAATAACGGATACCCTAATGTACATACATATATACGAGTTTGCGCTATCAATCAATCAGCGTACATACTTGCATATTCAACTAGCGTACTTATCATAGACGTGCAGATTTTATATTATGATTGTAAATGACTAATATTCACAAAATACTTATGTTTTTCTTTATTATTCTTCTTTACTTTTAGCGCACAAATTAAGATATCCAAGAACATTAGACAACGTAGAATTGCAAAAATACATAATAAATGCTGAGTGTGCACAACAAAGCCAGTTATACAAGAAAAGAAAAACAAAAGTGAGCGGATATAAATTATTCCAGTCATTCAAGCAGCCGAACGATCTAACAACGATTACACTGTACGAAGCAACTGTCAATAAAAGTCATACATCAACAACTATTTGAACAGCAACGGTAATAATTTCGCGTGTTACAAGCCGTCAACTGCGCAGCAACTGCTTCAACGACGCAAAGCCTAGAGTAGCAGCAGCAGCAACAACATGAATAAAGCCGGCAAACATATACAGAGTGGTATCGGTGTGAACACGTCACCCACCGCTGTCAACTCAGTCGGCGCATTATCCACACAAAAGAACGTCATCAATTCCATAATGAGTTTTTTACCCGACAATCGACCCATTACGTCGTTGCAAATTGTTGAGGACTACGAGAAGTACGTATAAATATCGATGAAATGCATGCATTGGTATATACATACATACATATATAATATTTTTTTTTTTTATAAAATATTTGTTGTCTGGTATGTATAAGGTGAATTTTCAGAGGCATAGAATTTGCTAATGAGATAGCTGTCAAATCATCCGTTTGACATATATGTATATTCAGCTGTCAAACCAGCTACTTGACCTTTGTTTGCTGATATTAAAAAAGTTAACCGCAAGATCATGTGATTTGACGTCGTTTGACTACTTGTTGCGAGGATACGTGAAGTCAATGGTCTATGTCGATACACCATACCCAACTAAAGACTGACTAATTGTGCATCAATATTCGGCAACTTAACATATTGGCGATCTGAGACCGACTATGTTTAAAAAGTTACGCACAATTGGACCAAAAGCACGGTCCGCATAATACGAAATCGAAATTCTGCCCTTTTATTTAAAAGTAATAATTTCTATACTCTAAAATAAACACCCTATGTAAGTCATTGTAAGCCGCAAATAAGTGCTGCCATGAGCCAATTTCTTTATAATGTATTTGATGGTTGCCTAAGAAAGCGTGCCGTTTGCTTGTTGCCCGCAAATTCTTAGCTACACTTTGGCTAATAGACTTATGTCGTTGCTCGATTTTGCTGTTAACGTTGGGGTGCTCTTATTTGCTCGTCGCTATTGTGGGCACTTGTGCTTGTGGTCGCATAATTAGCCCACTTTGCTTCCGCATGCATGCATTTTCTTGAAATTCCCTATCTAAGTATTATTTGTAGCATTTTCCCCTTTACTTTGGCGCGACTAACATTCTTAGCTACACTTGTGTTTATTCTATAATATAGACTAAGTATGGAGTCTATGTATACGGGAAGGTAGTATACGATGAATCAATAGTGGAGTTTATGCTATAAAAATATTAGCAAAACGGCAATATTGACTTCTAATTGTTAAATAACGCAGTAAAATAAGTATTTTGGGTTTTGATGCTTCAGTTTTGTTGAATGACTTGAATTCAGGTCTGTAGAAAAGTATGCATCTAAAGATACTGTGTCCGCGTAAAATCAGGCAGGCACTTAACCTAGTTTGAAGTATATAACATATAATAATTTAGTCGAAAAATCACCATTGATAAGGTAGATATTTTTTCAAGACTGTTCTGTTACTTTGTTAAGCTGAAAATATAAGGTCTAGTAAAAGAAACCCATTTTTTTGCATTAAGTTGAAAGTTTTATTTAGCATAGTTAGAATGTTATGATCTTATTGAAAGTAATTTCATAATGCCACTCTCATAAAAACCCTCGTCCCTATTGGCAGAAAGTTCGAACTGTCGATTTTCACAAGCTTCTCTAGTGCGAATTTTTCACCAGCAAAATCATTCGTCATAGACAACAACACAAGTGTCTACTAACTACACTTGCTGTCAGTTCCGGACTTTATGGTTCATATATAAAAACCTTGGCGTTGTCCAATTCTGTTCCAAGCTGGCTTCGCTTCCTTTAAACGTACGAATTTTTGTCAGTACAGAAACATAAAAAGAGATTGGCCGTAGAGGAGCAGCTCATAGCAGATGATTAGCCGCCAATGCCACTAAACACATAACAGAACCTTCGTGACCATCAATTCTGGCTTGGTTACCGTTTTGCGCCGTCCTCATGACTTTTTTTTTACATTAACTCTTATCTCCAGCGAAAACTTGTTTATACTTGGATTGATTCAACTTGTGTATTAAGATTGTTTTCATCTCCTGTCTTATAAATTACGGTTTATTTATACAGCTCAGAAACATCAAAGGAACTTCGTAAGATACACTGACGGTTACAAGAAGTGTAGACAACTCTCATAGAGTGCAGTTTTGCATGAACTGACACTGGTCTTCGAAAATGAGAAAGCTTTATTAAAGATTGACTAAACTAAACTTCTGCCTTCTTTCCTCTTGCTCATGATTTTTTTAACATTGCGCCTAAATGTAGGCAACATTTGTTTGTATTCAATTCTAACCTTATAAATGTTCATATTTATTAGAGATTATTAATTACTACCAACCCACTGTGCCTAAACGCAGACTCCATTTAAAATTAAAGTGTGCGCTTCTCATGCAACAACAACTCAATTCCCAGCAATTTTGCAAGCGCAGCACTTGATTGCGTGCTTTCGATATCTATTTCATTACATTTCAAATGCAATTTTGTTGTAGTATTTTTAGTTACGTTTAAAACTGCTTATTTTTCTGCTTCTAACTCATATATGTTTATTCATAATTTTTTTTCTTCCACTTCCAGATGCCCCAAGAATTTCACACCCATACATCGTACTTATGATCAAGATGCCGATGCGGATTTATGGCGTGAAAATATACTCTTCGTTCGACACACGAATACGCGCTATTTATGCTTATCAAAGACTGAGGGCTTGCCAGAGTATGTGGTGGAGACGCTCAAGTGAGTATAAAAACTTAATAAATTTTGTAGTATTCTCGTGAAATCATGTACATACATATATAAAGTAGGGTGATTTGAAAGACATAGTCTAATTCATCCTCGCAATTGTTTCTATTTTATGTAAAAAAAATCCTCATCAAACATGAGTCTTATTGCCCAACTCTAAGGGGCGCTTATCTCGATTACATCTGATTAGGAACGAATTGAGTCTCCGTTGTCCTCTTGCGTTCTAACGCTGGACCTCTGGACTTTGAGTGAGCTTAACAGGCGCTGGTCAATAACTAGCTGCTGTGCGACTGGGGATTCTTTTTTCGACGCTACCTGCCAAAGTTGTATAGAGGAAGATAAAGTGGAAACATTCAGGCAAGAATTTTTTTTTTGCCAGCTTTTGCAAGACTGAGGTTGGAAAATCTTTGTAGTCTTATCTGCGGCGAACTTGGCGAAATAGCTGGACATAGCAACAAACAACTTGCCACAAATTTAAAACGTTTTATCGATTTTTGAAAGTCTTTTCGTTCAATACTGTTTAGAGTTATATGCTTAAAGTTAAGTCTTTGAGCTTTGAGAAATTCTGCGAGAAAGTATGCTTATCTTTGAGTAGTTACAGCCATTTAAAAAGCACTAAATTTTGAAATTCGGAGGAAATTTTTTTTTACATCAAACCGTAACCTTTGAGAGGGTAAGAGTTGAAAAATCTTTTATTTTATTTTTTTTTTGAAAGCACCCTAATGTAGGTACATATGTGCAAGTGTGTATTGTGTCTAACTGCTTGAATGCATTCATTGTTTGCACAAATTTAATTAAACAAAATTGTTTATTTTTTTTTTCCGAAATGAACGGATGTGCGCGTAAGTGAATGAAATGCTTTGAGAAAAATGGCATAAACTATTTTTGTGTTCGGTTATATTAATAATTTTCGTTTAGCTTACGTAAAACTATTTGATTTCGAATTTTTTTTATTCTCTTTTGCACGCTTTCTTATATTCAATTGCACTTGCTGCTTTGCGCGTCGCTTCTTGCTTGCATTAAGCACTCAATCAAGTCAATTTTCTGTGCCTATTCAATTTCTTTCATTTATTTCTTTTTTCTTTTGCCTATCAGCAGACCTTTAACTTGATAAGGCTTGTAGTAGCGCGCCGCCAGCACTTATATCAAAGCAATTGTTTGCATAATTGACTATCACTTGTCTGGTTCAATATGTTTACAACAGGGTGAGACCTTGACTAATTAATTCGCTATACCAGTATATAAATTTACAATAGACAACAACAACAAACGCGTTAATAGAGCTCCCCAGTTATAAACCTGCCTTATTATGTTGATTTTATTTTATTTTTCGCTACTTTCCATAATATGCCTGATGATTGAGTCAGACCTCAAAGCTTGTATAATTGAAACTACAGACGCACCTGTGCGAATTTGCCTAGACTTACAATATAGTTTGCAGCTCAAAAAAAAAACTGTTGTTTTCACAAGCTTTGCTAGAAAAAGGCAAAAACATAAACTACATCAATAAAAATAACAACAAAGTGTACAATTTAAATAAACAATTGATTTTTGATTATAATCCGTAATTGGCGTGCAACGAGGGCCGATCGAATTGTATCCATAGTTGAAAATGCTTTAACTCAATTGAAGTGAACAATTGTATACTGTCTTAGTCAGATTTCTGTGCCCACTGATAGTCTCGTAACAGGGCGGTCCGATAAGTATTTAACCCACAAAAGAGCGACAATTTATGACGGTCGCCATCGATGCACAAGAGTCTCTGTATATACCATATACATTATTCGAATAATCTTTGGTTTCACTGCGCGATTTACATTCTAAAAATCGACATTGCTATTTTTTCTATTTCTCTAAAATCCACGGACCAATCTGCTTTCACAAACTGTACTGTCGAAATTGCGAGTGCGATTCGGTTGGAAATTGGACAGTAGTCGTTTTCGAGAATTTACTAGAATGGGTGGAAGGCTCAGCCTTTGCACGGCTGGTTGATGTCCTCAAAAAAAAAAAAAAACCCCTGACATTACTAAATAGAGCGGATATTGTTATGAAATTTAGCACACACACTTTTCCTTCCGAGAAGCTGCTCATTTGCCGGAACCGCCGATATCGTAAGACTATAGCATATAGCTGTCATACAAACTGTACGATCAAATTACAAGTATGGAAAGGTTTTTATTTGTGAATGGTATTTTAGCTCCGTTGCAGCCGAGGTTTTTTGTTTTTCTCAACAATGCGCCTAAATGTAGGCAACGTCTTAACCAAAAATATCTTCTCAGCGCTTGTATAAGCGCGGCCCCATTTGTGTGGGTCTGGGTTTCAGCGTGTCTGAATAAGCCACGGAAAAGAGAAGTTTCCGACTAGATGCGAGAGAAAAGACGTCTACTATATGACAACCATACGATTGCGTAGAACATAAGATTCGACTCATTGAAACATAGCCCGGATTAAGCCAGAGTTCCAATTTACCATATGAAGAGAAGAATTTCAGGCTACAATTAAAAAAGTTGAAGAAATTTATACAACTTTGGTTAAAAAGCATTCTCGCAAAAATTTGAAATCGCCTACAAAATAAAAACGATTACTGCATGCAGAAGATACCATTCACTCTTCGCGATATCAAAGACTGTCGTAATTATAAACTTTCTATATAATGCTTTCGCTTAGATCATTTCATAAAAATATTTGCAATATATTATAAATGATGTAGAAAATTAATGTTAGTACCTTTAAAATTGAAGCTTAAAGCTCAATTAAATTGAAAATTACATAAGCTCCACAACTTCATTTCAAAAATTTCAATTTTTCAAACAATTTGATTTGAAACACTTAGGTTATGATAAATTGTCTGTGTTTTACTTTTATGTGCAAAAAGTTAGGTTATGTAAAATTTCATACAAATTAAACTGCTTTCTTGAATTTTTGAATGACCCACGAATTTTTTTTTGTAATATGTACAAGTATGTTTTTTTTACCATATACCGTATTGTTTATTTTGTAAAGTGGTGTAGTTTACTTAGCAGTACAAACAAAGACTAAATAACAATAAAAAATGTAGTAGTGCTAATATTTTCTATAAATAATCAATTACAACAGTGGTAGATAGTGTTAACCTATGTACATACATATGAAAACAAACTGCATGAGAAGTTAATTGCCAGCCTGTTTTTATCGATATACCGATAAAAGTGTACATGTATCTGTGCTATTTATGAAAAAAGTAAAATAATTTTTGTTATGAAGTATAAAAAATAAAGAGATTTTAAATGTTACGGGAATTTATATTTTCAAATGCACTTATATTTGCCATCAATCGTTAACTTGTTGGTAAATTTATTATTTATGTACACATAATAGACGACGTATCTTCATTGTAAAAACTTTCCACATTACAAAATTTAGCGTCAGCATTTCCCAACATATTGAGTCATTGGCATTTTCAAAGAAAAGAGATGAATGACGCAGGGAATTTGCACTTAATGACACATATACCATGTATGTTGATACAAAATATGTAATCAGAGCAAGATAAAGATACGTTTAATGGGAGACATGAAAATAAAATAGTTTAATGAGTACATTCACTTGTGAAATAGGTTAAAATTGTCGACGCTAAAGATGGTTATAATTTTTTTTCATATTTATATACGTATATATTTTTGGCGAAAAAAATTTATATATCGTTATTTTGGTTAGAACAAAAATTAAAGTAAATTTTTACACAAGACATTAAATGAATTTGTTTTTTTTGCATTTTTTAGTTATGAGTTAAATATTGTTTTATTTTTTTTAATTTTATTTTTTTAGTCTTTTTTTATTTTTATTTTTAACTCTTTTTATACTCTCGCAACCTGTTGCTACAGAGTATAATAGTTTTGTTCACCTAACGGTTGTTTGTATCACCTAAAACTAATCGAGTTAGATATAGGGTTATATATATATAAATGATCAGGATGAAGAGACGAGTTGAAATCCGGGTGACTCTCTGTCCGTCCGTCCGTCTGTCCGTCCGTCCGTGCAAGCTCTAACTTGAGTAAAAATTGAGATATCTTTATGAAACTTGGTAGACATGTTTCATGGTACCGTGAGACGGTTGGTATTGCAGATGGGCGTAATCGGACCACTGCCACGCCCACAAAACGCCATTAATCAAAAACAAATAACTTGCCATAACTAAGCTCCGCAATAAGATACAAGACTGTTATTTGGTACACAGGATCACATTAGGGAGGGGCATCTGCAGTTAAAATTTTTTTTAAAAAAAGTGGGCGTGGTCCCGCCTCTAATAGGTTTAATGTGCATATCTCCTAAACCGCTAATGCTATAATAACAAAATTCACTTGAAGCAAATATTTTTAGCACTTCTATTGACGGTGTGAAAATAGTTGAAATCGGGTGGCAACTCCGCCCACTCCCCATATAACGGTACTGTTAAAAACTACTAAAACCGCGATAAATCAAGCACTAAACACGCCAGAGTCATTAAATTTTATCTCTGGGATGGTATGAGATGACTTTATAGGAACCGCGTTCAAAATTAGACAGTGGGCGTGGCACAGCCCACTTTTAGGTGAAAACCCATATCTTGAGATCTGCTTAACCGATTTCAACCAAATTCGGTGCATAACGTTCTTTTCATGTTTCTATGTCACAGTGCAAAAATGGGCGAAATCGGACTACAACCACGCCTACTTTCCATATAACACCATTTTAAATTCCATCTGATTATTTCACTTTCCACTATGCAAATCAGGCAACAATGACTGTATCGGGATAAAACTTTGCGTGAATAATGCGATTAAAGTATGCCACCTTGTGGCCAAAAATTGTCTAAATCGAACCAAAACTGTTTAAGCCCCTAAGTACTAAATATGTGGACCCCAGTGCCTATAGTTGACCTTCTGCCGAAAATATCAGTCAATCCACAAAGAAATCTCAAACGAGTATACTATTTGACTTTGCGAGAGTATAAAATGTTCGGTTACATCCGAACTTAGCCCTTCCTTACTTGTTTATTTTTGTTTTTAATAATTTTTATGTTTATTTTTTTTAATCATTTTTTTAAATAATTAATTTTTAATAACATCCTTTTTTCCATGCATTTCTAGAGTGATTCCTGAGAAGACACAACCACCCAAAGAGTTCTCGCTGCTTTCACGTACCGCCGATACGGAACAGAAGGCGTGGCGTAAACGTCAAATTGCCTACAAACTCACCAAACGCGGCAATGTCACACAAGCAGTCACCGACATAATACTTTGTTCCAAATTGAAAGTGGCACCGGAGGGTTTCAAGTTAGCTGGGTGAGTATAGCCTACAATGCAATAAGCTTGCAAAAACTTAACTGTTTGTATTTATTTCAGCGACATAAATGGTGTATTGATTTGTTACAAAACCAGCGCTATACCGATACGTTCGCCGCCACCCGTACCGCAGATACCGAACGGTGGCAGTATCGGTAATGGCAGCAGTGAGGTGGAGAAAGCTTTGAATCGTTTGAATTTGAGTGGTGGTGCGGGTAATTGGAGTGGCCCACCCAATCAGCCGGTAAGCATACACACACATACACGTATTTGTGTATATTATGTGGTAATATGTGTGTAAAATGTTTAATTTATTTTTACACTTATTACTGAACTATCTGGCAGCTACCGCCTGTGCCTAGCGACCATGACTACGAAGAAATACAGACTTCATATCAAATCAAATCACCACAACGACCTGCACCGCGCCCACCAAACACAGCAAATTGCGCCACGAACACATCGGGACATAGTGTCGGCACTTTGGGCGCCTACTCGGAAGTTGAGGGTGTGCCATTTATAATAAATCCAATGCTAAAGCGTATGACAGATAGTGAAGTGAGTATAAAGCTACGGCTAAACCTCATATATACTCTTTTAAATTTTTTTAAAAATTCTAAAATCTTTTACTACAATTTTATTTTTGCAAAAAAATAATAAATTTAAAAAAAAATTCATCTCTTTTAAGTTACCAACACTGCCACAAATTGCGGACGTGCTTAAAGGACTCGAATATGATTTTCAATTAGAGCGACAAATACTTTGCACTATGAAATCGTCAGCATCGAAAAATCCATTCTTTAAATGAACAACAGAAAACTAATATATTGTTGAAATTAACAAGAATTTCAAACTAGTTGTTATAAACAATGTTAAGAATTGACTAAAGAATTTGAAACAGATTTTGCGCGGAAAAATTATTGCATGGAAAACCAAAAAAAAAAAAAATTAAATTAAATAATAAAAAATGAAACTTATGCTCGAATGCACACCAGCGTTTACATGACTGTAGCGTGTTTAAGAAAAAGCGTTAAAAATCACAGTGAACCAAACTGCTTTTAAACTTTATTAAATTATATTCTAAATTTTTTGTGTTCTAACATTTTTCTAGTTATAAATTATACATTATTTTCTATTGAAAACTTTATGTGCCACTCTACTATATATGTCCATAATTATTTTCTTTATTAATAAACAATTTTTCTTAAAAGATATAAATTATATAAAAATACGTTACATGTAATTTATCGTTTCTCTATATGTACTTGTGCCTTCCAGCAGTGTCCAAACAAACTATTTTCCATCCTAGTAATCGTTCACCTCCTAACTATGCACCCTGCATAGTTTATTATGATTTATACTTTCATTTCATTAAAATTTAAATTAATTTAGTTATAATTAAACAGCCTTCTTCGCTGTAACCACTTTAATGTACACCAATTATTGTGATCAATTTTTGTCATAACAAAATAAAAAGTTTATAAATAATATTTATTATAATTCGAAAGTAAATATACACACAAGAATATTTTAAATAAAAATCGATAACAGCAAATGAAAATTTATTTATACATACATATATACACATATATTTATAGAAAAAAATAAGCTATTTACTACCATTATATATTATTATATACGTATCTTAATTTAATATAGTTTATTGTATAATAAAATTGTGCGTGCATACACACAAATATGAACTTAGCGTCGTGCATACACTTATGTAGGTTAGTTGTTAACTATAAAAGTATTAAATATTAGCAACTTAATTAGATTTGAAAATTAATAAACATGTACACAAAGCAAATATAAATAAAAATTAATATATTAAATAAAACGCAATAAATTCATAGCAACATAACCTTAATTAGAAGTTAAATTTTAGCAACAGCGTTGTTCTTTCAAGAAAAGAAACTGATATTATACTTGTATGAACAAATTGTCTGTTGAAGTGCATAAAAAAGGTTGTAGAGCATTTGAAAATAAAATACAATAAATTTGCCGAAAAATGTGTAATTTTATTAAATATGTAGCTATAGAATCTCTAGTATACATTTGTTTACAAATTATTTGCGATACTTTCAATTTTTGAATATGCAGTCCCACGTTGCTGCATGCATTTGCATTAGTATTTTCACAGCTGCATTCCAGTAAAGTGCCGTTCTACCACTATATGGAAATCGAGGTTGTTAGTTTTTTGCTTTTTTTTTTTATTCAGTGGTAATAATTAAAAAATGAGCTCATACCAGGCACAATGTATTTAAGCGATTTATATCTGTTATTACTACTGGCACTTGTCATGGCACTAATTGAGTTACGTTTTGGTACTGCATTTTTCATCAATGCATCATAGAGTGCATTATCGATATCGCGTTGCACACACAGCTGAACACGAGGATCTTGAATTTTTCGTAACTTAGCTGCTACGCCCTCAGCGAAAATTTCCAATTCATCCCTATCAGCTATTTGTGATTGTTCAACTTCAGATATTGTGTCACTGGACGGAGGATATTTACCATTCTGTAATTTATATGCATGAAAGTATGCTTTAGAAGCTTCGGCAATAGAGGAGTTTATTGAAACTGGTGATGTTGGTGCCAGGGTCAAGGAGTTGCACTGAAAGCAATGAAATGAAATATTTGTAAGCAATAGTTAGAAATCGTCTTAGCCATAATTATTCATTATTGTTTCTATTGTAAAAAAAGTTTACCGAATCGTGGTTATCCACGAAGCGCATATGTTCGTATGCAAACCATGAGGGCATTGCGTTCAAGGTGCTGTATTGCAATTTTTCACGTCGATATTGGTTTCGCAATTCTCGCCATTTGCGTTCAATTTCAGAACCAATACAGCCAAATTCCAAACCAATCTCACTGAAAACACGTCGTTTCTTCACAATATTCAGAAAATCAATGTCATGTGTGTCCCACAGCAATCGTTGCTGTTCGACTTTTTTAATTAATTTCATTGTTGTGTCAATATCCCAACTCTTATCACGTTTTTCCATGATCTCTTACAAGTATACAAAAGTCGCCTAGTCTTCTATAATCAGCAATCTTCTCATACACTGCTTATTTCGTTCACACTAGATTAGAAAATTTAATCCTTCTATATATTATTTTACTTATATCTCATATATGACTTCCTTATAGGATATTAGAGGTAACGAAATAATCAGAGCATAAAGAATATGCCAAATTGCGATTTAAATATCTTATTGTATATTGCACCGGAAACTGAAATTTCGAACTTTTCAAATTTTGTCCAACCGATTATGTCAAAATTTAGAACAAAGGTGAAACTTCAACGATTAAAGCTATCGATAAGTCGATGTCTTGTTATCAAATTCAGTAGAGATTGTGGGCTATTGTATTTGATTATAAATAATTGAATGGTATTTATTTATTTTGACAAATTATAAAATAAATTGTTGTTGCAATTAAATTCTACGCGAAATTCCAAGGAATTAAAGTTTCACTACACGTAGCTAATTTCAACTACAACATTCAGCTGCATCACTGAACACACCCAAACGCCGTTACAATAGTAGTCAGCGCAGTATTCTTACTTTGAAAGAGCAAAGTAGAGTTCGAACAGTCTACACGCCATTTTAAGTAATTGTGACAACCCGCAAGAAAGTGTTCTATCCTGTTTGTGACGGTAGACGGTAAAACGCTGTTAAATAATTCTTTAAATAACGCAAAAACGTGTGCAAGTCACAGCTTAACATACGCACTAAGTTAATAAAAAGTTTTTGTGTACTTGCAAAGTGTATGTAACGCATTAAAGTTATAACAAATTTTCTATCGAGCCGAAAGAAAAGATTCTCATTGGATTCTGCTTCCTCTTCGGTTCAGTTTCCCCTCACACCCAGCACCTCTTCGGCATTTCAGATACATATATATGTATATAATTGCAAAGAAAAGTAGCTGAAAAGAAGAAAAATAAAATCAGAAGGGGTGGAAGAATTGGAGCAGGCAGCTAAAAGAAAAAAGTGCGAATCGAAGGAGTAGGCGAGTTCACTGCTAAATAAAAGTAGCGAGCAAAAGCGTTTACGAAAGTAAGTGCGCGTAAAGGAGACAACGCAAAATTTTTCTAGTACTTGGGTGAATTTTTGCACTCAACAGCATTTTCACGGTACGCTTGCATAGGTGACACACACACGTACGTAGCATATAGTATTAAAATTGCGTGCTCGTGTGTGTGTGAGTGCGAAAGGTGCAACGAGATTGAACGGGTGTGAATTGTGTAGGAGAGCAACGAACTCGCGTGCAAGCGTCGAGAGAAAGGGTAAGCAATATATAATATTAGGAATACTAGAAGTGTGTTTTTTTTTCATTTAAAGTGGGTATCTCTTTTTGTTTGTGCGAATGCATTGAGGTAACCGGCATAACACCAGCATTTTGCTATCTATAAAACTAGTCAATATCAACAGTATTTATTGTTTGTATTGAAAGATATTTCTATTTAGGTAACGTAGTAATTTAGAATAAGGTTAAACTATCTGTTACTACCTTTATTTAGGCCATGAATTGCTAATTACTTACTAATGCAAAAACCATTCAACTAAACTGAAGATAGTGAGTGTTGCCAACAGCGGGTACACATTTCTAAAACATTCTGTAAAAGTGGGCATTTGTGCAACAACTAAAATATATCTCGCTTTGCAGTAAAAACAAAAACAAATGTATTTGTGCAACAACTAAATTATATCTCGTTGTGCAGTAAAAATCAAAAAGAAATATAAGCGTTGAGTGAAAATAAATGAAGGATTGATTCATTTCATGAAAGTGTACATAAATATATTACTTGTACTACCTGGCAATGCTATCTGTTCTGCAAATTTCACTGACACATCACGTATACAATACTTGCTCCTGTAGTATCGTTAGTTTATTCTCTCCCACGCATCGTTGTTTGCTAAAGTGAGAGCACAGTTAAGCTCAAGGTTTATTCTCGGTTTATTTCGCTTGAAAAAAGGTTTGTCTTTTATGTGTCAATTGTATGTTAGATAAAGTCAGCTATACAGAAATCTTTTGATTATGAACGATTCATCCCGTTGATGGGAATAGCAAATGCAGCGGTAGTAAAGCTATTCAACGAGCAAACGAAGCTGAAAAGTAGTTGCAGAAAGACGACAGAAACGAGTGCGAAACGGAAAAAATTTTCGTGTCGGAATCATAAAATTTTTACTGCAAGAAAAGAGAAATATCGCTCTAAATACGCTGAAAATTGTGTGAAAAATTGCGTTAACAAGCATTTATAGTTTGTTTATAATTGAGTGTGTTTATTGACGTATAGATTACATGGTAATCTTGTGGAAATTTGCATTATAAAAGTGTCTTCACCGAAGTCACTGAAAAGAAGAAGCATACAATTTCAATTCTGGTATAGTGTGGTGGAGCTCCGCCAACAAAAGCAAAAAAACGAAACCAAGCGGTTGCGGCGACTACATCGATAAAGTGGAAGTATTGAATAAGTGTCGATAGAAAACGCCAATATCGGATGGTATCTTGGAAAAGGAACGCATAAGGTAGCAAAATTGAAAATAATTTCTGAATTCTCGTTAAAATCGGTTGTGCAAAGTACTACTTCATATGCATTGAAATACTGAGGGTAGGTGTGGAGGGTGGCATTGTCCGTTTACCACTGCCTCTCGACCTGTATTCGCACAAATGTATTACACTAGTTTTAATAGTAGAGCAGAGTCAGTATATTATATCAGACGGTTAAATAGTGTTGTGCCGGAAAAAATATATTATGCAGTATAGTAATTGCTGCATTCTCCAAGCGTATTACCAATTCGCTGACCTATACAAACGGTTTTTTAATAACACAGCATTTTTATACACAAATGTTTTGTATATAATTTTGGGCGTACTAAACTCATGTATTTTACAGGGGCATTGATCCTTTGCATACAAAACAATACCTAATGATCTTATGGTCATTATTGCAAGACGCCATCACGTTCTTCGTTTGTATTTTCCACATCCTAATTCGCTTTTTGAATGTGTGCACATCAACTTCTTTGTTTGATTGCCTTATATGTTTGTGTATGCATAGTTTAATGGTTTTCAAATTTTCTCTTCTTTTTTAAACATTTTAATATTTAGTACACACTTATTTGTGTATTTTTCTATAAACCGCTTTGATTGTACATTATTAAATTTATAATGAATCAACTGAACACATTTCTGTGTATAATCTCTCTTTTACTAAATTATTTTATTCAAAATAGCAGTAAAGTCAAAAATTATTGTATTAGGATAACAGACTGACAGTACAAGTGCATCACTCGTTTCGTTATTATTCCACACGCCTTTCGCTCGTTGGTTTAGCTGTCAAAATATAGCTCCTCACTTTAGAACTTTATTTGTCTCGCTTACTCTAGCAAATTGCCTTTGAATGTTTTGTTAAATCTGTATTATTAAAAAATTTCACAATTCTCTTTTTACTTAAATTCTTTAAATTGTTTTGCTGCTTAAGTTTAATGTTTAAAGCAATCTGTAGTAATGTGTTATATTACAAAATTGGGAAAGCTAGTAAAAATTGTCTGTTATTTGTGACCACATTTTTACTACTTTGGTATCTCATCTTTTCATATAAAACTTTTTATTTTTTGTTTTATTGAAAACATGTCGCATTTCGCTTTACCCAAGTATACAGCAGTTTTGTTATGTGTTGTTAACCTTTCTTTTTTTTTTTTTTTGCTATATTTGCTTTTAGTTTCCTAATGCTTTTTATTCACTGATTGATTATCGGTGTTTAACTATTATTACACAAGTTTCCGGTACTGGAACATTATTTCACCTGCCTGCACAACGCAGCACCGTTTGTTGGTTCTACGTATATGTGTGTATTCACAACGCATATCTGCCTTTTTTTTTTTTGTATTTATTTTTTTCTGTAGAGGTATGGGTTGTCTGTGGGGCACCGCACTCTCGTGAATGTGTATTCACGGCCAATGCCATGTGAATCTGCATTTGTTGTGTCTTACTGCCGTACGATCAGTGGGTTAGTTGACGTGCTGTCTACTTCACTAACTTCTGAGATACATGGATACTCTTGGTGATGCGCTTTTAGTATGTGTGAGCAGCTTTTCCATTTGTTATATTATTTTTCAATATACGTACTTCTTAACTTGTACGCTTTGTGTTATCCATCTAGATTTTTTCTGTATACCACCTTTATTAGTTTTCAAGTCTGTTAAATAGATTTCATTAAAATTTCATTTGATATTATATTAGAACCTAAGATATGGCACAATTATACACTTCCCTAGAGCATTGACCAGTGGCCATCACTGCTGTGAAGTAAATATAAATTTTTATCAAAACAATTGATCACAATTATTTGTTTTTATTACCCCATTTGAATCTCTTAAGCTGTTGGTGGGCTGCTAAAATCGTGATTTGACGTTTGTAAGGATGGAGTAAAAATAGTTTTTATTTTCATTTATATTCTTTATGTAATAAGTACAATTAAATCTATAATTTATGATAAATATGTGTTTTATAAACTAACTTGTAATTAAAGTATTTCGTTTTATTTTTCAGAATTCAAAGAAGACTGAGGATATAGATTTAAAATACCACGAGGATTCCCTTTTAACGAGGAACGGACTTATAACCGATTCGAGAAGTGTCTGAAGCCGTCAGTAGTTTTATTTATCTAACGCATACCACAAAATATAAGTTTTCTCCAGCAACAAAGCAGTCCACCGTAGTGTGGTAGATCAAACCGAAACGCAGCGGCTTTTCCGCCGTTGAAAGTGAACCAGCACCCTTCGTCATCATACGGCGTTGTGGAGTGTAAAAATAAATCTCATTTACATTAACAACAACAGAAAAAAAGCGAGAATATACAAAATACTGTCTGTTAGGAAAATCTTTGCAGTTTATATATGAAACAGACAAAAATTATATGCTGAAACTGGATTAATTTCAAATTTGTCATTTTGAGGTTGAAAGTGGCCGGATCTTATAAACAAAAGTTCGCATCAAAAAAGTCCCATTACAAAAACAAAAGAGAGAAAACCGAGCTATTATTAAATAAAAGAAATTTGAGCAATTGATTTGTATACTCTTCACAATAATACCCTTTCAAAAGATCAGATAAAGCTGAAAAACTCGCCAGTGTAGAACAACAGTCGCTGAGCTATTGTTTTAATATAGAGCAGAATAGCCAAAGAGCGGTGTATCTTCAATAAAAGAATCGAAACGTGACATTTTTGTGCAACAATACGTGGTTGCTGCGAAACCGATAATCTAAGTCGGGCAGAAATATAGTCATCTGTTTAGATCAAATAGTTAGCTTTGACGCTTTTTCACTCTGCTAACTTACAGACTACTAAGTGAAAGACACAGTTACAAACACAAAAAACAAATAAACAAACGAATATAACACACTGCGCAACGAGCTGCAGTACTCGTAAAGTAGAAGTGGTGAAGTGAGTGCGGCGCAAGGGGGAGGTAACGCTAATGAGGATCTACTGGCAGCATGAGTACACTGGGGGGAAGTAGGGGAGAGCGAAATGCCAAGCCCAAGTTCTCAGCACTCGATATAAATCGAATGTACAAAAATAGTCGCGTAAGTTTCGATCTTTACAAATCAAATTTCAAATTGTTTGTACATATATGTTCTTTCACTTTCAATTTTGTAAAATAGTTACATTTTATAATATACATAATATACTTTCAACTTCTAGGGTGAACCAGCTGAACCATCTGCACAAAAGAATCAAGTGCCACGTAAACATGGAATGCAAAGTTTGGGCAAAGTGCCGTCCGCAAGGCGTCCACCAGCTAATTTACCATCCCTGAAAGCTGAAATAACAAATTCGCCAAATACGAATAACAATCTAATACCATCAACTGGACAAGAAGGTATGCTTTTATCTTTAAGTGAAAATATAATAATCTTTTAATAGTAAAATGGTTATAATTTTTTAATAGGGAAAATAAAAGTAATTTTCAATAGTGAAAATATATTAGTGTTTGCAGTTTATTGAACAAAATTTAAAATATTCTTTGAATAGCCATGTGCGTAAACGTGTAGGAGTAGCAGTAGGGGTATTGCGGTTTGATTGCCGTAGGCCTCTTTAGAACTTCTATTTTTGGGGAGATATTAAATACAATACTATTGCTTTTATATATAGGGTTAAGCTGATACTGCATATAATTACACTTTGTAAATATTATGAAAATTTTCTTGAGCATTGCCAGTTTGCTCTAAGTTACACGCTTTTATTTATGTATCCATATCTTTGGCACAACCATATTCACACTTTTTAGTCAACTCAACGAGCGGCGGTCAAATAACAACACACACACCCACAGGAGTAGTAAATAATCAACAGCAACAACAACAACAACAACTAAAAAACATCAGCAACAAATCCGCACTTGGAAATAGTAACAACAATAATAACAACAATAGCATTAGCAACAGCGTCGGTGGTGTAAAACTTGTTAACAATTCAACAGGTGTAAGCTCTGGCGGTAGTGGCGGTCAACAGCTGCGCAACTCTTCAGTAGCGAATCACGCCAATCAACAACAGCAACGAAACTCGCCAATAACATGGTCTGCTGTGACAACGGGCAACGACTTGACCGGCGGTGGCAAGGGCAGTGGTGGTATTGGGGGCAAATCGTCGGTACCGCCACTCTATCAGAGTCCACAGTTTCAATACGAATTTCCAACGTTAGATGGCACAGTTGGCGGCGGCGCCGGTGGTGGTGGTGGTGGCAGCGGCGGCAGCGCAACGACTCGAAACAAACAGCACCAGCCACAACAGGAGCATTACCATCATCAACAACAGCAACAACAACACCATCATCAGCATTCGAATCAACAGCAACAACACCATTATCATCAGCAGCAACATTCGCAACAAAATCATCATCACCATCATCAGCAGCATCATCATCATCAGCAACAACAACAACAACAACAAAATCACCATCCACACCAACGAGACTACAACAACCAGCAGCAACATGGAAGTGGCGGCGGCGGCCGGCACGCACACGATCAGCGTTACGATGCGCACAATTACAAAGATGGCAGCGACGGAGACGGTGGCAGCGATTACGTTTATCAACAACAACAGCAGCAACATCATCATCACCACCGCGAACAGCAACAGCAGCAACAACGCGAACTGAACGAAGTGAGTTTGCGTCCACAAACCGATGCGAACACCTGGTTACAGCAGCAGGAAAAATCAGGCAAGGGCACAACCGAAGGCCAGTCGAACCAACAGGGCCAGGGCCACCAGACACAGAATGCGAATGCTGCAGGTGCAGCAGTACCGTTGCCCATCCTGCAGTTAATGCCATCGTTTATGCAGCGTGGTGCACCATTGCCGCCAGCTGGCAGCGGTGGCGGGGGTGGTGGTAGCAACGGACCACGCTCACAAACACCACCAAGCTATCAGAACGGCATTGGTGGCAAAGATACGGGTGGTGGAACAATGCGCTCACAGCAACGTGCGACAGGTGGTAATGGTGGTGGAGCCCAGGACTATCGGTCGGGTTCCCCAGCTGTTAGCAGTTTCCGTGCTGCAACTACAATACCCAAGAGACCACCACAATTGGCCACACCCCCATTAGGTGGTACGCAAACCCCTAACTGTGGTGTTCGGAAGGATAAAGAATTCATCATTGAACCAGAAGTGGTGCAGATGCAACGACCAATTATACGCGAAGAAGATTTGGAACGTCTAAATGCTATAGCCAATGATGATAGTTGGACAAAACAAGATGATATAGATTACACGAAAAAGCTGACATTCTCAGATGATGAATCGCCTGAAGAGCATACGCCAACGCAAGAGCGTGATCGACCAGCATTCAATAAGTCGAGCGGCAGTAGTGGCGGTGATCTACGCAAGAGCTCCAACGCGAGCAGCGTGAATAACAGTTGGCAACGTAGCGGTAGCATTAAGGAACAACGTGAGAGTGCCGAACGCGAGAAATCGGCTGATCGTGAGGATACACGTCAGCAAAATGGACATCGCAGCAGCGCAGCGGGCAGTATTTCCTTGGATGCGGCCGTGTACGAACGTGTAAAGCAGCGTAAAGAGGAGGAGGAACGACGCGAAAAAGAGCGACGTGAAGCGGCCGCACGTAAATTACAAGAGCTCGAAATGAAAATATATAATAAAAAGGCAGCGAGCGCAGCAGCTGCTGGAGGAGTTGTCGGCTCAACAACTGTTGGGGCTGGTGGCGACACAGTAGAACTACCGACTCCGCCACCATCCATTGGCGGTGGAAGTGAGGAGGAATTTAATATGCGTCGCAGCGGTGGTAGCAGGGATTACGAACGAGGAAATACACGTGGCAGCTATGACACACGTGATGTGCGTGGAGGCGGTGACTATGTGCGCGGCGAACGTGGTGTTGGCACTGGCAGTGGGGTGGGCACCCAAGGCGTTGGCGCTGGTGGCAAACCTATTTTTTCTGCACAATTCCAATCGAATTTGCCGCCACGCTTCCAGAAGCAGCAGCAAATGCAAGCGCAGCTAGGTGGTCCACCTATTAGCGGTGGCGCATTAAGTGGCAATGGCAAAGCGTCTGGTCCGTTGGGTGGTAATTTAGATAAATCGGGCTCGGCAACGTCCGCCTATGAGCCCGGAGTAGGCCGTTATATGCAAAAAGGTGGTAATGGCGGTGGTGGAGGGCCGCTGCAACGTGGCGGCCGTGGCGATTATCGTGACAATTATACACGCGGCGGTGGTGGGGGCTATGGGCGTATACGCAATGACAGTGAACGCGACGACGAACCACGCTATCATGGTGGACGTGGTGGACGAGGTGGTGATGATTACATGCGCGGCAATGGCATGTCCCAAAATCAGTTGTCACGCAGCATATCGGATACTTCTCAACGCAAAACTAGCGTCTCGTCCAACGACGAATCTAGCAAGTACGGTGGCAACAGCAGCTTGAACGATTCGAAGGAGTTTGGCAGCGCCGCACTTGTATCGTCTTGGGCTGAGGAGACAGATGCCGAGCTGAAACGCCAACGCGAAGAGAGTTTCTCTTCGACGCATAGTCAAGAGTCACTACCCATAAAAATATTGCAACGTCCACATACACAGAAGAGTGTGTCGGAGGAGGAGACTTCACCACTTCAACAGCAGCAGCTGCAACAACATTCACACTCCCAACAACAGCAATTGCAATCTCAACAGCAGCTAACGCAACAACAACAACAACAGCACCAACATCAAGCACCACATCGGCGCAGCGAAAGTGAACAAACAACGCTTTTTGCACCCACTCAAATTTTACGCCGCTCCGAGTCGTCGAGCGATGAGAAACCCAAGCAGCCGCAACAAACCGGCAGCGGAGACGCAGTTACGGCAAGTAAAATTACCGAAGAGAAGACCGCAACGATAACAAAGCAGACCACAGACGTCGAATCTCAACAAAAGAAGCGTAAAGAAAGTGAGAGTAGCAATTCTGCAGCTCCAATCCATGCAGGAGTTAGGAAGGAATCTGTATCGACTGATGACAGCAAATTACTGGTTGATGAGAATCGTTCAGCAACATCTTTAATAGCAGTAAGTCAACCGCAGCGTGAGGCAAAAAGACCTAGTACACGTGGTGGCGTTGTTGGCGGAGGTCGTGATCGAGGTGGTGAACGTGATCGCGATCGCGATCGTGACAGAGACCGGGAACGGGGCCCACATTCACGCGCTTATCCTGGCAGCCGTGGTGTTCGCGATTGGAATCCTCGTGCCACACGTGGTGGACGTTACTATGGTCCCAATGAACCGCGGTTACCCAGCGAATCGGAACATTCGGAGGATGTCGATGAAGAGGCATATGGCGGAGGTGGACGACGTGGGGATCGCCAAAGTCCTAAAGTCCCACGAAAAGACCACGGTGGTCATCGTAGTGGTGGCGAAGAACGTAATTCTAAGGAAGGTTTCGCACCACGTGGTGAACCATCGCGTCGTGGTCGTGGCGGTGGCGCGAATATTGGTGATCGCGCCGATCGTGGAGAGCGTGGCGATCGCGGTGATCGTGGGACTTCATCGTCGTATCGACGTAACGATGGCGGCGGTCGCGGTCAAGGTCGTCATTATGGGCGGCAACCCTACGATGAACATCATAAAGATCATAAGCGTAGCTCCGAGTCGGAAACAACAGGTGGTGGTAGTGATGTTGATAAAACGAAACAAAACCAATTAGCACTTAGCGCAGGACTTTCTAAAGTTAAAGACTCCAATGTGACTACGACAACATCTGCAGATGAAAAGACGCGTACACAATCTGGCGGTAAGCAACAGACTCCTACACAAGGCGCTGCAAACGCGCAACAAAGCAAGAAGGCCAATATGGTTGGCGAGGCAGAAAAGAAGGGTGCTACCCCCACTCCACCAAAGCAGTTTGGTAGCAATATTGGAGGTGGGACGCAAAGTCGCAAAGAGAGTACATCGAGCAGTAAAACTGATGAGATCGCCGAACGTGAACGTAAGTCCGCATCCAAAGAAAAGGATTTACCCAGTGGCGCCGTGCAACAGACGCAACAACAGCGTAGCAATAATTCGGTTCAATTGCCCGCAGCGCAACGCAGCAGCTCCAGTGTTGGTGCAAAGAAACAAGATTTACCTATGGCCTCATTGCCCACATCGCAATCGGCTTCCGCCATTGGCACTAACAAAATCAACCAGCAATCGCAACAACAAACGGTGACGAAACCTCCACCCGGTCTGGGTAACGTCAACAGCGGCGGCAATTTCAAGCCTACAAATAGCCCTTCGCTACCAAATCAGAGTGTTGCTTCGCAACAGCAACAACAACAACAGAAACAAAACGTCGAACTACTAAAGAGTAAATCGGATACAAACCCCGTTACAACGAATGCGGTACGTCAACAGCCGCTCGCACAGCATCGCACTTCCATCAGCGAGATGGACAAAACGAAATTGGCTGCCGGCCTCAGTGAGAAACCGAATGCAGTTGTTGCCGGGGGGGGCAGCACTCTATTACTAGATGGTGCACCCGTTAATACGATTATCTTCGAAAACACCAACTACAAACAACAAGCGCAGGCGGCACAGCTTAAACGCTCCTCCGAGTCTCTGAGCTCAGTCGTTAGCAGCGGTGTAAGTGTCTCCGCTGTTGAGACGCTAAGCACGGCGCTTTCGCAGATGTCTTTCGCCAAAGGGAACGATACGACAGTGCCTGGCGGCGTCGTGGTGGGATCTGCTGCGGGAGACTACGACAAAGATATGAAGTTAGGTTTCACTTTTGGTGATGCCACTGAAACATACGTCTCGGCGGTGCCTAACAAGTCGCCAATTGATAGCGAATCCAAAGTTGTTAGTGTGGTTGCGCAACAAGTAGCTGTCACCGCTGTCGGACAACAACAACATCAGCAGGTGCAGCAACAACAGCAACAGGCGCAGAATATTATTTCAACTGCGGATTTGAATATGAAAATTGCGAGCGTGAAGAAGGTATGGGAAAGTGTAGCGCCTATGACATCTGAGGCGAGTTCGTCGGCGTTACAGCATCAGCAAGTAGCACACCAACAGCAACAGCAGGCACAACAAGTCCAACAACAGTTGCAGCATCAACAGCAGCAGCAACAACAACAACAGCAGCAACAAGCCCAACAGCAATTAGAGGTGGTTGATCCAAGTGGACATATGTCGGCGGCTGCCTCATTTGTGGCAGCTGTTGCAGCATCGCAACAACAACATCAGCAGCAACATATGCCACACTATGCAGTCGCCGCTGTGCCACTGCATCAACACCAACACCATTCCCTGTCCTCGCCGGGTCCAGTGCCAAGCGGCTACGGCAGCCATGGCTCTCCCTTCGACGTCGCCACACCACTCGATCAGCAGTTCGCACAGAGCGGCAGCATTGTGGTGGGCGGCGCCGATGATCCGACTAGTGTCGTTGGCTATCCCAGCCCACAACAGACACAACAACAGCAGGCGCAGTCTGCTGCCGCTGCACAACAGCAACAGCAAGTGCTGAAACACCCAGATGTTGTGAAACAGCAGCAGCAGGCGTCAGCTGCCGCAAAACAATTGCAACAGCATCATGGCTCTTCGATGGGTATGTCACCACCACCTAATATGCAACAACAACAACAACAGCAGCAGCAACAACAACAGGCACAGCATCAACAATCAGCAGCTGCGCAACAGCAACAACAATTGCACGCAGCACCGCCCTCCTTCTACCAAGCATCACCACAATTCACCGGCATACCCAGTCCCCCAACTGTCGTGTTCAATTCATCGCAAATGGCACCACCACCCTCACAGGCTGGCCTCTACGCACCATTCCATTCACTCGATCATTCGAGCCGTTCACAATTCTCAGCCGCCGCAGCGGCGCACAGTTTCCCCGGTCACTATAGCGCAGCGGCGGCGGCCGCTGGTGGACCTTTTAATGCATATACAATGCAAACGCCACCTAATATGGCTGCTGCACCCACACCCGAAATGTATTCCAGTCTAACGTCACAGTTCCGCATGGGCGGAGGTCCATCACCCTTTGGCAATCCAAATTCCCAACAGCTGAGCAATCCGAATGCACAAGCAGTGACGATAATTTCCTCTAATTCCAATTCGATGATGTCTTCGGTGGGTTCGGTAAAGCCACCGCCATCATCGCAACAACTCGGCACGATCGGTTCGAAAGGTGGCGGTGGTGGCGGTCCTTATGCAGCACAACAATATCTGTATGGTCCACCACCACAGCATCCACAAGGTGGTCCCCCGGGACCACCTGGCGCACATCAATTGCAATCGAATAGTTACTACTCGAATTCGGCTAGTGGACCGAACGGACCGACATTCTACGGTGGTCCACCACAAGGCGCAGGCGCCGGTGCGCAAAACTTTGGTCTAGCAGCTGCAGCTGCAGCTGCGGCTGGTCTATATGGCGGCCATCAAGGCGGGCCGCCCGGTTCTAATGGTCCACCTGGACCACAAGGCCCACCTGGTCCACAGTCGCAACATACAATGGGCAACTTTAATACACCATTTATGAATTCGCAGTTACTGACGGCTGCGAGTATTAATCAATTTCGTGCAGGACCGACGCCCCAGCAGCACGCAGCTGCCGCGGCCGCATACATGAAATCTGGACAAGGACAAAGTCATCTGCAAGACTCGGTAAGTAATAGAATAACCTCATAATTTCATGTTTTGTCAAATTTGAAAAAAAAAATGACACTTTGAAATATTTTTATAGATGGGACGCCAACTAAAAAGCCCACTCGGCGCTGACGTCAGTTTAAGCTTGGCCAAACAGGTGCAATCTCAACCTAGTCCACCGCACCACAAGAACTATGGCAGCGTAAGTGAAAATTAATTGATGTATAATATGCATGCTACTAACAAATATTTTTAATATTGGCCCCTTTCACACAGTGGGATCTGCAAAATCAAGTAATGCAGCAACAACAAGCACAACAACAATCTCAGTCGCAGCAGCAACAGGCCGCGCAGCAACGTGCTGGCGGTGTCGGTAGTGTAGGTGGCGGAGGTAACGTACAGAATATGCCACCCGGCAGTCGTGGTGGTGGTCCACCAGGCGTACAAGGTGGTCCCGGCGGCGGTGGTGTTGGCGGACAAGGTGGCCAAGGACGTTATCCAACACCAATACAGCGCCCTAATAATTATCCCCAACATCCACAAGGTGGCCCACAGTCACAACAACAACAGCAGCAGCAACAACAACAACAACAGCAGCAATCACAAGCAGGCCAACGACCAAATAACATGCGGCAAGGACCTGGTGGTGGGCCACCCGGCAGTGGCGGTGGTAATGGACCACAAGGTGGTGTTGGTGGCCCTGGCGGTCACAATAATGGCAATGTAGGCGGTGGTCCCAATGGTGGTGGCGGTCAAGGTTGTGGCCCTGGTGGTCCAAACAATGGTGGTGGAACTGGCGGTCCCAACGGCGGTGGACAAATGAATAAACCCTACTATGCGAATAATGCGGGCGGCGGTGGAAGTCGAGGTAATTGAATGAGCCAAGCGACCACACCAACATATACACACACACATGCCAACCAGTAATCCAAGACAGTAAGAGCAAAGCAAGCATATAAATAAATAAATGTATAAACGGAAAGCTCACAATGCGTACTACAGAAATTTCATATTTCTTACAAAATGTAGCACAAACGTGAAGTTTGTGAGAAGTGTGAGAAATACGCAATTAAAATTAAATATGAGAATATGAGAATTACGTAAACAATGGTAAAGATGCGAACATTGCAGAACGCAATAAAACAATGATATACAGAAATAAACATAATTATTATAATTGTTTGAGTAGCAAAAATGCGCAAATGCGTAACAAACACATAGTAATAATGATGAAAATATAAAATAAAGTTGAAAAAAATGTACACAAACATTAGCGCATTTGACATAAGCGAAAATGCGCTTTGTAACGGTAAAAGTTGAAAAGTGCTAAAAACTAACGGCACACAATGTAATGTGACATTTAATTTTGACAAATACATAGAAGAGTGTGTTCAGTGTTGAATTAATGCATTAACTGCAAATGAAATTTCCTAACGATAAAATATAGAAAATCTACTGATGCAAGCGCAAGAAAACTAGTTTTCTTTTCGTTTATGAACACATGTGCAATTGTTTTGTGTGCAGAAAAAAGAAAAAAAGTTGCAACATGAAAATGTAACACTTACGTATCTTTAATAATCCCCAAAAAACTGGAATAAATAAAACTCTGCTTCAATGTTTGGTGAAAGAGAGCAACAAAAAAAGAAGAAAAAACATTTAAAAACAACAAGAATATTAAAACAAAAAAAAAAAAACTATTTAATTGAAGAATGCAAAAATGAAATGAAAATGTGCACGTTTTCAAGTGGTGTGTAAGACGTAGAAACCGGGTCGAAAAGTATAAAGAGTTGGAAATGAGAAAAAAAATGAAAATATGTAATGAATAATGAAAAAATGCATAGAAAAGTTTAAAATGCTGGAACTATGAAGCGCGCAAATCATGAAAAGTGTAGATGAACAAAGAAGCAAGTGACAGGAGCATGGCAGCAGTTGTTAGGCAACAACTTTAGTGGCTACTAGCCAATTTATTGTACTACTCATTATGTACGTACGCAGTACAGTGGCAGCGTGTGTTTGTGAATTTGTGTGCACAAATATTTGTTAGAAGTTAAATGCCATTGATAATAAAATACTTTGAATTAGCTTTTACAAAAAAAAAAAAATTTAGTTGAAAAAAATATACAAGGAATTGCTACAGTCGCGCTAAGGCTGTGGCTCAGTTTTTTTTTTTTAATTAAAATATATTTAAGTAATTTATTTCATACATTTTTGGAATATTAATTACTTGCGCGTGAAATTTTGTAAATTATGGCATAAAAATATACGAAATACTATAGTTTTCATTGAAAATTTTGTAATATTTCACCAACAGAGCATTGTTATGTTTAACAAATATAGAATTTTGTCACAATTCACTGTTTCTACACAAGAACGCGCCCCGCTGCAACGCACGCATATTATATATATACATGAATATGTTATAATATATGCTATATAAAAATATATAAAACTAAAAATTAACTTTGGCAAAAATTAGCAATAACAAGCAAATTAAAATTGCTTTCTAAGCAATTCAATTGTTTTAAAATTGTATGGTTTCCTTAGCGCGCTTACAAGCGTCCTAACGATTACAATTCATTTGCACTGTAACAAAGAATAGTGCATTTATGTATAACCAGTTTTACGTCTACCGTCACAACAACTGTTTGGACACACACATACATATACATACATTAACTTGAATGAATGAATAAATAAATTAATAAATATTTATACTTACAAATAAATAAATAAAATTAAAAAAATGTAAAACACCTCGGCTAAAACACACTGAAGTACTATTATATATTGGAGGGGCATGCGGCAATGATGTTCTAATAGAAAAAGTTCGTTAAGAACATAATATACAATATTAAGCAAGTGCGATTTCTGAAGAATTGTAAGAAAAAAGTTTTCTTTTTGGAAAATTGTTACAGCGATTTAGTAAGCGCAACCGTTATCTCTTTATCAAGCTATGCAGTGAGTGTTGGCGCTGTGTGCGTAATAAATTCGTAAAATGCGCGCCAACTTTTGTAGTTGAAAAAAAGCTTACGCTTTATTTTTGTTTATTAATGTTTTTCTGTGCACATCTGATGTTGCGAAACTGTTTGTATTCTTATAGCCAACAGTTTTTGAATTGTTGAACATGAAAAAAATGATATTCTTGAGAAGTATTTGAAAAAAATTAATGTAATTATTGCTATACATTGTCAAATAAAATTTTTGTTTTAGAAAAATTAACTGTATGACACAAACTTTTCAGTACAATTTGAAAATGCATTTGAAAGTTTTCATTTTTAGTTTTTCGTAACACTTCAAATTAAACGTATACTTTTACAGCTTTAAAAATTATTTGTTGGTATACTACAGAATACAACTCAACGTTCAATATTGCACATATTTGAATGAAATGTATGCTGAAGCTTCTTAATCTATTTTCATTTTTATTTTTCAACTTTAGCAAATTCACATTGTGTGCATAAATATAAATAAATGCGTACATTTTTCGCTGCAAGGCTGCACTTCATTATCCCTCCCAACTAACTGCAAATATACGCAGCTGCAATGTTGTAACTGCCATCAAATGTCTGCGTCCTCACTATTTTCCACAAAAAAAAGTTTGCTGTCTGTAACCACTTGAAAATGTCGCACTCAAACACATTAATACATAAATATTATATTGCTATTATTTACACTTTATTATCTACTATTAAACACAAATGATTCATTTAAAAATATTTTTTTTTTATATATACATATATTATTAAAACAAATCATTATATATCGATAATAATATTTACATATGTATTTCTCTTAAAAACAAAAAAAAAATCAAGAAATAATAATGCATACATACATTTTTTATTTATTTTATAAAACAAAAAAAAAATACATTATTTAAATATTAATTTGTAGTTTAAAGCGCCAAGCAAAAATAAAGCGTTACATAAAGCGTAAGAAAGTTAACCTAAAACACTGCTTAAACAAATGGAAAAAAGTAAATAAAAAAAATATTAAAAGTAAATTAAAAAATACACAAAAATTGCAAAATAAAGAAATACATTATCTTCTACTTTAGCTGAAAAGTCTTTAAATCAACACATGCACTGCACACAGACGGACAAACAGGTATATTAGGCGTTGGGAAAATATTCAAAAAGTAAATTGCAGAAATATTAAGTGTGTTGGAGATGGTGAGGATATTTATAGATGGTATTAGAAACAATTACAAGTTTACAACAAAACAGCGTTGGTGTTTGTGTATAGTAATAAAATTTATTTTGTCTAAAAAATGAAGCCTAGTTATCTAAGTAATACTTCTTGTTTGCTACGCCAATGATATTATTTACACCTATATTATTTTTTTTTTGATCACTTCTGTACTTTTATTTACAAATTATGTATAATTTTATATTTTATTTTAAACAAGCGACAATGCTTGCAAAAGTTGAATCTTCAAACGCTTTACTTCACACCAAAGCTATCATTTGAGTGGCCTCACCGTGTGTAACCCTTTGTAGAATATTTTTTGTAAATGGTAAACGTGTTGCAAACAATGTATGTGTCAATATTTTTTCTTTTATTAATACAAATTTGGACTTTTTTTGTTTTTTGATTTTAAATGGTAGCTGAATACAGTTTTTAAACCAAGTCATTTGAAAACCGCAAATGTAACATTAATTTTAAAGTTTAAAAAACTGTTTCCTAAGTTAATTGTACAAAAACGCAAGCGACAGTTAATTTTAATGCATAACGAAAATAGTAATTATAAATATTAACTATCCTAAAGTATGATGATGTTTATAAATAAAACACACACAAATGAAAACAAAAAACTACATAGAAAATATAAAATTTCCAGATTAAAAAGGAAGCCCCGAAAACAACAATATTTGTTTTATTATTTCCTATAAAATAAGTAATATAGATTTTTTTGTTAGATTTATTTTTATTTTTTCAATTCATTGAATTTTAAATAACTAATTTTAATTGATTTTATCCTATATTATTACTATAGAGTATATAAATTAATTTTTAATCTAAATTTAATTGTTATATAGTTTTTCTGTTTTCATTTATTTAATTTTTTATGTAAAAAATCACAAAAACAACTGGTATTTTGAAACACACCTATAAAATTTTCTTACTTAGTTTTAGCCGTTTTGCTCAGAGCGCTTTTAAATTAAAACTGCTTTCCTATATTTTCCTGATGTAAATATCTTTGCCTTTACAAATATTTAATATTTTACTTAGTTAAAAAAAATAATTGGTGCCATGTTTTATACATTTATATTTTATCAAAAAACGCGTGGTGTCAGTTTTGCAAAGTAAAATATATCCCTCGTATCAAATCAGTAAATACAATACATGCCGATGTGGTAACCGCAAGGCTCAATTTAATTTTATTTTAATTTCCACAATCATATTTGTTATATCGCTATATATATATATATAAAATTTACGGAAAGAATGCAATTTCTGTCACTAACAATTCTTAACCCAAAAGTAATGTCTAACGAACACCATTCAAAATGGCCGCATCAGCACAGTTAAATACAACGCGACTTTCATTCACTTCGTACGAGTATTAAAAGTACACACAAAATATTTTCAGATGTCTTGAATTTTTATACAAATATCCTTTAACTAATTCAATTCTTCAATTTTGTTCTGATTATTTTCAATTTGCACACAAAATACAAATACAATATAGCAAACCATGCTTAGAGCTCTTACGGATGCATAATTAAGTGTTCGGTTAATTTTGAAGGCTGAACAAAAAGCAATTCGCCAGAATTGGAAAGGACGAGAAAACGACACAAAAGCAGCAACAGCGAACTGTTTTATTGAGTGTATATGCACGAAGAATTAGAATTAACTACTAAAATACTTACACGTGAAAATAAAGTTAAAATTTAACATATTAGCAGATCCAAATTGAAATAAAAATTAACATACATATATACATGCGTTAGTAGCAAATATTGAATTCAACTAAAGAAATAGAGTGTTCACACATAAGCAATCAGCAAGATGGAGAAAAGCGTACTATAGTGAAATGCTGGCGTACGCTATAGTAAAATGTTTTTCACTTTTCACAAATATATACTAAACCAACTGAAAAAATCACGCCACAAAGGAATAATAAAAAGGCAGTAATAGTAGCAGTAACGTCTAGCCAACTAGCCGAAGAAGTAAGAAAATTATTACTAGCTCACGAGTAGCGCGTTTAAACAACAAAAAAAAAGCAAGCGGGAAGCGGAAACGATGCAGGGAAACAAAAGAATGGCAGCAAAAATGAGTGCGAATGATAGAATTCCATATACATACATACATACTTTATTATGTTACGCCAATTTATTCATATAATTATAATTATTTTTAAAAAATATTAACATTACAACATATACGTATGAACATATATATTTTTAATTAGCCTACATGATATTGAAAATAGTTTTCTTTTATATAAATAATAACAGAAGAACCCTATGCAATTTTCTATTGTAATTAAAAAGAACAAAATGCAGAAACACAATATGGCTGATACATTAGTTGTATTTAAAAAAAAAAAGTAAATAAAGCAAACCACAAGTATATACACTAATGTATACCTAAATTATTAACCGGCAACATTTGTTTTGAACTACACTGCTCTTAAAACTGTCACTGCTTTTTTTTATAGCGGCATAGCTGATAGCGCTAAAGCAAAAAAGTTTTTTTTTTAATCTGGCAGCTCTTAATTTTGAGTCGGAAAAGGAAGCGTTAACATTAATCTGGCAAGTCTGTAGCAAGTTAGTTGAGACCGCGTTTCCTACATCCGGTCAAGTGCTTAACAAATTTGTTTAGAAGGAAATGTGACAAAATGAAATAAAAAGTGTTATGTGTGTTATTTATGGTCAAAATATAATATATTTGTAATAAGTGAAGTGCGTGATCGTTTTAAGTCGTTTAAGTAACATTTAAAGTGATTTTTTTTAATAAAAAAAATAGCAGTGATTCAGTTAAATTAGTGTCCTCGGACGCGTAATTTTAAAATGGTAGCATGTAGCTGTAATTATAATGGATAGCATTGAAATTAGGCGCAATATTGTCAAGCAAATATGTTGCAAAAACACATGGCAAGTAAATTCGTGCAATAATAATGCAAGTGACACTACATTCATGCACAAATATGAAGTAATTTTATTGAAAAATGTATATGCTTATTAGAAATAATAATAATAATAAAGGTGCATACAAATGTATATGTAACAAGCTAACCGAAAAGCTACCAAAAACATATTTTAATATGTATTAACAAAAAAAGAATATGTATAAAATTAATTCATACTTACATATGTATATAATAACTTTGAATACAGAATAATTTAAATTTTTTGTTGAGATATGCGTTCCAACTGATTATTTTATTAAGACCCACAAAGAAAGAAACTTTAATGTATATTACATATGTATGGTATATGTATAACTCTATACATTTCTTTTTTTCCTCTGAATTGTAATTCATTTGAACTTATTACGGTTTGACTGTTGAAAATATAAATTAAGAGATTAAGTTGTGCACGATTTAAAGATATTAACAACTCAACTTCTTCATAGCGTAAATTGAAATTGGTTGCGCTGAAGTAGACAAGAAAATCGATGGAAAAATTACAGTAACTCATGCAAAAATATTTGTAACCTCAACGAACTTATAATAAATTTTTTTAATAAAAATGCAAACTTGAGTTGAATGCGAACTAACTAGCGTATACACTGGATAAAATCTACTAAAATACGCTGAGCTTACGAATGTTACTTCTCAAATCATAGCAAAATGATTGATTATACCATGATTAGAAACGTAGAGACAAAAAAAAGGTAATTACTATAATTAATATTAAAGCCAGTTACTTAATTATACATATATATATAAACGGTCAGTTTAAATTATGCAAGTTTGATATTTTGGTGTTTGGATCAAATGTTTCAGTAAATATGGTAATTGCTGGCGGGAGTGCTGCCCACCAAATAAAAATCAAATTAAATTTATTAGATTTCAGATTCAGAAGTATTAAATGTATATTAAATAAGTATTGCAATTAAATAAAACCACATATTTCAATACATTCTTTTAGGAAATGCATGCTTAAATAATGTCAGACATGAAAAATAAAGGCGAAATATAAAGAGAATTGCACGCAAACCGCCTAAAGGCTGTACTCAAAATGAAAAAGTTTAAAAAACGTATTAATAAAAAAAGAGAACTTACATTCTATCCTAGAAAAAACGAAGCATAGTTTTTCTTTCTAAACACACTAACACATAATTTTTTTGCAATTTTAGAAATCCTTATTACAAATTCTGCTGCTGACTATTAACTTTATAGTTATTGCATCAAAAAGTGGTTCATCGTTTAGACACGAAAACACGGAAGTAAGCGTTTACATTTCTGGCAATATTAGTAATGAATGAATTTAATTTATACCGTGGGTGCAAAAACTTTCGCTGTTTGGATGACAGTGCAAGGATATAAATATACATGTACAGAAAATTCTATAAGCTAGTAGTAAACACGTTTATAAAATAACTTCATTTTTACTGGCATCAATACGATTTTATTTCACACTTTTTTAAGAAACGCATAATTCCAACTGCAAATTAAGCAATAAATTCCCCCATAAACTATATCGTCAACTCCCCACCAGCACAACAAATTTTTACTGCAGCTGTGCCACTGGCAGCATTACGAATTGAGTTGTATCGCTATGTTTTGGCTTTAAATAAGTGTTGTACTCCTCTACTTCTTCTTGGGTTTGACAACATTATAGGCAATGATGAGACCTATCACAGCATAAGTAGCCTTAGCAACCTGCAGTTGTACATGGAAAAAAAGGGTTTATATAATTCTTGCATTCAGTTTTTCTCATGCATGCATATACTGACATTTGCGCGACCACGCATTGTGGAGCCATTGAAATGTTTCGACAGTCCAGACAATTTAGCATCCTCAGCATGTGAATCTCCAGCCATTTTGCTGAAAGCATATAAATTTTACTTATTTTGTATTACTAACTTTTTATTTTTACACTCACTTGCTTTATAATTTAGCCTGTTAGCGGATGGAAAAATATTCGCTGATACTTGCAGACAACTGTCAAAATTTCGAGGTTAGGTTATGTAAGTGCGAAGTCGAAGTCGAATTCGAAATGAGCTGTCAAATTGACAGTGCTAAAACTGCCTTGCCGGCATACAGAATGATAAGGTAGTGCAAGGTTATTTGAATGATGTTTTATTAACGAGACTACATATACGCGTACTATTTTTTGCTCGTATTTTTTATTTCCGCTGAAAGTTAAATACTTATAGCATATAAATTTGTGCAGACTATTTTGTGTTACGAGGTTAAGCATGTTGTTGTTGTTGTTTGGTTTAAATCATTCTTGAAATAATTCTAGAAGATGCAGTGTAGACAGTGCTTGGCGTTATATTATTTTAGGTTTGCTCCGATTAATGTTTTTGTAATGATTGAAAATAAAGGCCGAAAAAACACTGGCGGTATAAACTTCTTTCGTTAAATATGAAGTGAACGGTAAAGAGAGTTCGAAAATAATTCCGTTCGCAAGCTGCAATGCATAATTTTTATTCATTCTAAATGACATGTGAAAAATAAAATTCGGTTGCAACAATAAAAGAAAAAAGTTTTATTTCATAATTTTAACATATATGTATAAAATGATCACAAAAAAAAAAAAAAACAAAAAAACCTGTCACTAACGTTAGTTCCCCTTTATTATTACATATATTTTTTAAAAGAAACAACTTTCAATTTATTTGCTTTTATAGATCTTTTATTCCACATTTTGTTTGCTCATTTTCTAGGTGTACTATGTGTAATTAAATTTTCATATACAATAGATAATTTACTTATTTCGAAGATTCATTGTTTATTTGATTTCGTGCGTTTTCTATTCAGAATTTATTAATATTTATTTTACTTTGATTTCGCATTAATTAGAATCTAGTGTTTAAAGCTACAAGATTATGGAGTACTCGCATAATGTGCGGAATAAATGAGTGTGTGTGCATATAGATTTTTATGTTTCTTTTTTCAATATATTTACAATGCTTAAGGCGTAGCAGTAAATTAAGATAGAAATGATAATTTTGTGTCTATTTTATTTTAATGTGTAATCAATTTAAATTTGTGTGAATTGTTATACTTAATTTTTTATTTTGTTAGATTTTTTTTTAAGAATTATTTTATGTAATTTATTACTTCATCTAAGTTTTTTTTATTATACTTATTACCTTTTTTTGTTAATTGCATATTTGTAAAATTATTTTGTATTATTAATTAATATTTGTTATTATTATATGTTTTTATTATACTTTTTTATGTTTTTTTTTTATTTTACTCTAATATATTTTTTAATATTTTTATAATTTTATATATTTTTTTATTATACTGATACTATTTGGTTGATATTATAATAGTTATTAAACTACTTTCTTTTTAAAATCTTTTATTTTCTATTATTACTTATTGATTTTTGCATTATTAATAGTATATATGTTTTTATTTTTTATTTTCATCATTATTGCTCTTTTTTATTTTTATATTAAATACATTTTTATTTTATTTAAACTTTAATATATTTTTTATTATTTTATTATTGTTTTTGGTTTTATTTCAATTTAAGTTTTATTTCGTGTTATTTGGTTAGCATTTGCTTTTATAAAATTTATATTACATCTAGCAGTTAGTAATCAAAGAACACTTTCGGACTTGCAAAGCTTAAAGTAAGAACTCCCTTAATATGAATTAAGTAATTTTCGATTTTAAATTATTATTTATATATTTATGTACATACAACACTGGGTACGAACGTAAAATAAAACTAAAAATTACTAAATTAAATCACAATGAAAATTGCTTACACCTAAAAACTACATTTTATGCTATACATGTTTATATTTTATAATAATTTAAATCGAATTTCAAATCATGTGCTTCAAAGTAGAAATAGTGTATTTGTTGCTTACTGTAGTTTATACCTTTTCTTTTTTATTTCATTAGATATTTATAATTTCTTTGATTTTGCTTTCATTTAAATATATTTAATGTATAATTTGTGCTTCAAATGCATTTTTACCGCTTCTCACATACTAACATATACATACATATATCTTTGCAATATTGACAGTGGCAGTAAATGCTCAAAACTACTGTTAACATACAAACATTGTTTATATTCGTGTGAATTTATTGATCATGTCGCTGCATGTAGTGTCAATTGTTTCTATTAAATACAATATTAAATGTGAGATTTTTTCGGTCAGCTGCGAATTTTTCTGTGGTAAAAGCTTCGTTGTTTGTTATATATTTAAAATTATAATATTTTAATGTGCACTTATTAGAAAAAATAGTGTTTACATTGCGTATTTTTTGTGCGGTGAGTTTTAACAATCGAAATAAAATCGATAGTTATTTGCTTAGGCCAGTGCACATGTGAATTAAATGCAATATTTATAAATCAGCAAGCGCAGTGCATTAAAGCTGATTTTAATGGAAAAACGAAAGTTTTAAGAATTTAATTGTGAACCTAAGTTTTTATTCGATTTAATTAAATTTTGTTAAGCCGTTATTGATCTGAATTGTCAGCAATCTAAGTATTGTCTAGGCAATAATAAAAGTATTGACGCAGATTTTGAAAGACAATGTGAAAATTTTTTTAGATATAATTTTGTTGTGTAATCTTTAACTTTAACTTTATTTGTAAATATCGTTTTTAACTATTTTTTTGTTACAAATTTATGACTTTTGACCAGCTTTATACTTGCACATATTTCCCTGAAGCTCTAAATTTCTACTTTACAAACAATTTTACAAATAATTATATTTTCTCAACAGCATATATATAAGAAAAACTATAATTACTTTCAAATGCTCATATTGTGCGCTCTTTACTTGACTTTCTCCCTAATCTCTTCAATTTAGGTGCATAAAAAACCATGAAACAAGCGTGGGTTTAACGAAAAGCTGCGCATGTTGGCCAATTTACTTCAAAATTTCACTTTTCTTCCAGTATTCTTATAACACCATGCTTGAGTTAAAAAATTTCGCCTTGTACACTACACCCCTCTTACAATAACACATCAATACACATATTTCATCTGCTCTCCAAAGCCATTGACACGCTGCTCTCCTGCTTGATCCGCTTCGCCGCATTCTCAGCGCTCAATAACATTTTCATATCCTTATCATCGTCCACATCGTCACAGATGTCAATCTCTTCTCTATCACATTCATCGTCATCATCATCACACATCGGTTCCTCATCCGCCTCGGCCTCACGTTCGCGTTCACGCTGTTCATGCGCCTCCTGTCGCCTGCGTTGCATTTCCGCTTCCGCCGCCAACAATTGTTGTTGATGTTGGTGTGCTGCTTGTTGTCGACGTTGCGCTTCAGCATGCTGTTCGGCCAATTGTTGTTGATGTAATTGCTGCAGATGTTGTACATGTTGCAAATGTTGTTGTTGATTGTAGGGATGATGTTGCATAACATGTGCGTGCGCCTGTGCATGTGCTTGCTCAGCCAAACCACTCATAGCGCCGTTAGCTAGATCCATGCCGCCACCCATAACACCGCTGCTCCCCACATCATGATGTCGCTTGTGTTTGGATGGTGCGTCGAAGAGTAAACGTGATATGGAGAACGAAGAGATCGGTGAATTGTGTGTACTGCCAGCGGAGTAGGAGGTATTCGTGTCGTCTGAGGTCGGTGTTTCGCGATCACTTTCATCCGATTTCAGTATATCGGCGGCTTCGAGTGATTTCTTATGCATGCCGAGTAGCCAGGGTGCCACCGACTCGTCATCTTTAGCTGATTTCAGTATAGTTTCGGGTAGTGGCAGCGAGTGTCGCACCATGGCACCGTAGAGACCATATTCGGCCATTTTTGTGCTATGGCCCCAACATTTCTCCGTTTTACGCCATTTAGCGCGACGATTTTGGAACCAAACCTGTAAGAAGTAGAGAAAAAGTATACTTTTACTTATTGATTTTGAGATTTGAAGCTGCGAGTTAGTTAGAGAAACTGAAGAGTGTGGGTTTTAAACTACAGAAAGTCCTGCTGTAAGTCTAACTAGCTACGATATTATAAAGCTCTCTAAGCATTATGCAACGGTTCTATATTTTTTTTATTACCTCAGCTATTTAGTGGTTTTGAAATCTTATCGAACTACATACAGCCACTGATTTTTTTATGAAAAGCGTTTAGAGCTTTTAAAGCTTTCAAGGCATTTTAAAACTGGTTTAAATTTTTTATTGTCTCAAAAATTTAGTGGCTTCGAGATTTTACCGGACTACATATGACCGCTAAATTTTTAAGAAAAGCTTTAAAAACTTTATAAAGCTTAGGACATATAAAACCGATCTGTATTTTTTATTAACTCAAAAATGTAGTGGTTCCAAATTTCTAACCGCTAAATTTTGTAGAAAAGCTTTTAGAGTTTAGAAAGCTCTCTAGGCATGTTGAAACGATTCAATATTTTTATTGTCCTGAAAAATGTAGTGGTTTCCAATTTTTTGCCGATTATATATGTAAAGCCGCTGAAATTTTAAGAAAATCTTTTAAAGCTCTCAAGGCATCATATGATTAAATACTTAAAAATACATCGCCAAATAGAAGTCGCATTAAAAAAAACACACAGGGATGCTTTTGAGTGCATAAAATACTTGAAAACTTCAAAAAAGCGCTTTAATTTTTTACCTTTTTGTTAATCGTTTCAAGAAAATGTAAAATGTGGTTTATGTTTCGGTTGCTTTTATTATTATTTTTTTAAATGTTTTTTGTGCGTTTCTTTCATGTTCCACTTGTCCATTTCTTATATTAATGCAACGCTGTCTATTGTTATATGCATTCAAAAGTGAAAAAATATGATTGGCAGTGCTTATATACCATAGGAAATCATATTAATAACTTCTGCTTTACTTACTCAGCATTTGCCAATGTAATTATGTAATTAGTAATGAGCACGGCCGCCTGCAGCCACTCAACTACTAACGAAAACTCATTGCAACGAAGCAGAAGTGCGCGTATTGAAATTAATGCCTAGCGCCGACAAAGTGTGAGTAGAAGTATATGTATATAATTCTCTGCATATTTTTGGGGGTTAGTTTGGCGCACAAAATGGTGGCGCAGCAAAGGAAATTGAAATAAAATTATTTCCTTTATATAAGTATAGCAAATGCCCCACTCGCAATAACTCGTATATACACGCTTTCACCACCTTTGCGCTATAACGGCACATGCCGCTGGCGCATGCACAGTCAGCGGGTGGTTGCGGCTTTATGCGCGATTTCAGGCTTTGCTATCGAATTGGTTATGCGCTCTAAGTAAAGCCTAGTAAAATTTGTTGAAGTGTGTGGTTTGCCTTATTTGCTTAGTGTATGGAAAAATTTGTTCGTTTGACAAAACTGTGCCTGCTAGTTCTCACATATCGAAATCATATACTCGGTGTATTACTGTTATGTATCTCCTACTACATCGCTTTGGGGTTTGTGTGCACAACAGGATAATAATTAGTTGCTCATTAATCAACAAGGCCTAGTTGTATCTAATAATAATGATGCTGCGTTTGAAGGCCAATGCTGTCACGTTGAGAACGTGTGCACTAAGTTTGAAGCAAAAAAAAAAAATAATAATAATTTCGCTACCATTCATCTAAAAGTGTTAATGGTCAGCTGAATTTGCGCGCATCATCAAATAAAGACCAGTAAATAAAATAAAATAATGGAGAAAAGCAAAAACAAAAGCAACAACAAACCGCATACCGTTCACCACGCTCAGCACCGACCGCCTTCATGCATTGTTGTGCCTTCTTTTCACAGCAAAAGGAATTGAAATTTGATATTTAATTAAAAGAATTCATTCAAAATATGAGCACATTTCTATCATACTACATTTCGCAGTTTCATATATATGAATGTGTGCATATATTTATACATGCATGGCGATTTGAGCCTTTGCTATGTGCTTTAATTAAAGAAAATGTATTTTTTCATTGCAAATCGCGCGGATTTCGGTGTGCGTGTATGTGCTTAAAAATGTAAAAATATTTGGTCATTTCAAATGTGGCCTTGTGTAAATATTTATATATTAAATTTGTGCGATTTTATATGTGATATGTGTGAAAAAGGTTAGCAGCTGACAGTAGCGGTCGCATAAGGTGAGCACTAAGTGGTGCATATATGATTTGTTGCTGGCACACTTTTGTGATTTTGTTGAAATTTGTTGTTTGTAGAGAAATAATAATAATTTGATTAATGGCTTAAATTGCAGTGATAATTCGATTAATGGCATTATTTGCGCGGAGATAACTGTTTCATCAACCCTTAAAATACATTCGCGATCTCTTCGATTCTTGCCAGTCTCTTCAATTTCCAGCACCACAAGCAATAGAAATCCAAAGCACGGAAATTTTTGTTCAAAAATAGTTACTTTGGTTTCTCAGTCTTGTCTATATGAATTTTAGTCGAAAAAATTATATCCAAACGTAATATCCAAAGTATAGCAAGAAGGCAACTGTCTTATCATCGCTTAAAATACATTTTCGTTCTCTACGGTTTTTGCAAATCTCTACTTTTATCACAGACAAAAAGCGATACAAACACAAATGCGAAAAGTTTTAGTGAAAACAAAGAAGTATCGCCTCGCCTGCATGGTTTTAATTTGAAAAGATGAAATCCAACCGTTGATGAACCCAAATTATCGATATGTGTATAGCGATCATCAGCTCTACTAAGCACTAAATAAGATAACGATAAAACCCTTTTTTTAACATAGCAAATGATAAACTAACATTTGTCCTCTATAAATCAGCGCTTTTAGTTTAGAGCTTCGAAGTAAAATGAGTCAGTAATTAGTAAATGGATAATAGGATTCGTAATGCAAGATTAGTAGAAATATTTTAAAAGGAGCGGATAAAAACAGGTACAAAGAGAAAAAACGAAAGGGAAAAGGGCCCTAAAGAAAGCTTATGGGGAAGAAAAATTTTATTTTGTGATAAATTTCGAAGACATTCATAGCTTACAGAGCTCTTAATGAGTAGCTTTGACTTGATTGCGTTATTTGTATGCTCTCTAACCTGACTCATTTGGATTTTTGGTCTTAATTTTTACACTTTGTAACACAATTCGCATAATATTTAGAAACCAACTATCGTTATAATGTTTTTGGCCAACTTTCTGTTTGATAAACATTTTGAACATTGGAACCATATTCAAAACTTTGGAGTTTTTTGGAGTGACCTTCTAATATAAGGTGCTTAGGAATTAGGCCAGCCCAGGATTTTCAAAATAGTGTATACTTTAAGTTCTGATATTAGCTTCAGAGGTTAGACCAAGTTAGGATTTTCAAAAATCTAAGGTTTTTTATGGTAAGTACACTTGAGGGTCTAATATTAGGAGCTTAAAGTGTTCGACCGAGCGTAATTTTAATATTCTAGCTATACTTATTAATGTTCTCTGCAAAATTTTCATGACTCATTCCAATTTTTACTCTTCAATTTTACTCTTTTAAATAGAACGTACAACATTTAGAAACCAACTAGCGTTATACTTGTAATGTGTTTGGTGAGCTTTCAGCTGAGAAAATCTTCAAATATGGTGCAAACGGATGTGTTATTAAGGATTGTCGGGGTTTTTTTTGGGTTTTTCTAATATTTTGAGCTTGAGAAAGAAATTATATATTCAAATTATGCCTTTTATATTTTGTCCAGCGAAAAATTACTTAAGAGCAATAACTGATATATACCTAAATGAAAATCATTTACAAGGAAAATATCCCGTTCTACTTGTAAGCATTTACATTATTTTCCCACAATCATAAATTAACTATACATCAACCCTAATTACTGTAGAGTGGTGCCTCCAATACTTGTTATTCGTGCTTTTCAGCTCTTTCTACTAATTTATCTCTTAGACTCTCATCAACAGTTGCTTGCTGCTTAGGCGGCAGTAAATCCCAAAACTAATTAAATAAACGATTGCGAAAAGTCAGTGTGTAACTTTGCTATTTTTACTGATACACGATAATAACGGTAATTGCGAGCATAATAGTGCCAACAACGAACAAGTGTACGCCGAAAAAATAACAAAGCACATTTAAATAGTTCGGTAAATTTCATTCATTTTCATTTACCAAATGAATGTGAATGAAGTGGAAAAAGTACAAGAAAATAGCGCAGAGTTCGTGAAGAAAGCTATTAGGCGCACGAGTAGCAACTCCCGCGGGACAACTTGAGCGGCTGTGTGGAAAAAAAATCAACTTGCAGCGAAAGTTTTTGGCAGCGGGTGCATGGAAAATATTATAACAAGTTGGTGGGTAAATTCGCAACAAGCATGCGGCGACCGACGCGCACATGACACGCGCTCATTTGCCACAATTTTCAAGTGTTTGCGTGAGAAAAATTGCTCCGCACTTGCAGGCACGCTGCATGTAGACCCGAAATGTGCGTTCTCAGCTGTGCAGCGCAGAGATAGTTTGAGTAGCGGTTAATGTGCAATAAAGGCGAATAGGCGCGAACGCGTGTTGCAATTCTCCAAGGTGCTTTCGGCGGAGGGTAAAAAAGTTACATGCATGAAAAACAGCTACTTTGCTAGTATGCTTGCCTATACAGTGCATTAAAATTAGACAATGTGAAGCGGCAAATAGAAATTTCTTGCACATGACTGAATCACAGCAAAGTTGTTGTTTGCAACTTTTATGTGAAACACCAAATGGGTGCATTATCTATTAGCAGCAACCCCTTATTTGTTTCTTTTCTCGTGTTATTGTTGTTGCTTATGTCAGTGATTTGCTTGTTTTGTTGATTTTACACTTGTTGTTGGGCGCTTGTTTGCTTGTCAGTTACTGTTTCGACTATTTATTCGAGTATTTGTTTAATTTACTTGTTATTATTGTTGTTTAGTTGTTGTAACACTTGTCATATAAATAGCAAATTGAATCAGCTTTGAGTTA